GGAAGCCCGATGCAGGGCTCGATTCCAGGGCCCTGGGATCATAACCTGAGCTGAAGGCAGATGCTTAATGACTGAGCCACCCAGGCACCCCGGTCCATGTTAGATCAATAGCCAACAATTTGTTACACATTCTACTTGCATGAACCTAGCTTCCTAGGGTCTTTATACATTTTTTCCCCCTTTTTTCTGGAATGCTTTCCCTGCCTTCATCTCTCCTTTTCTCTGTCCTTCCCTTCCACCCTACTTTCCTGTTATCTTTTATTCATTCTTCAAGGCTTTGTTCAATGTTACCTCCTCCGAAAAGCCTTCTCTGATTGTCCCCCAGCCCAGTGTGAGTTAAAAGGTTTTCCTATGTACCTCCATACCCCGTTATCATTAACACTTATCACTGAGTGCCATAACAATGTGTTTACAGAGAATTAACTTCCCTACTAGATTGTTAGGATGGTCAGATAGCTTCAACAAAAATGCTAGAATATTTGATGAATACTTAGAGATTAAAAATAATGCCTATGATACAAGAAGTTTATTGACATTTAATATTTCATTTTAGACTTTTTAGTTTTTATGAATTTTTAACTTTTTGAAAATGCTGACTTAAAATATCTGATATTTTAAAAGGAATATAAGGACAAATACAAATGTCATTTTTATTGATTTGGTGCCACATTTTCATTGCTATTTTGGAATTTATTTGAAAATTAATCAAAAAATTATATTACATGCAACTGTTACCCATGACACTAAAAATTCTTTCCTTACTGGCATAGTTACTACAATTAAAGCAGAATATTTAACAATTCTAGAGCAGTTCTTTGCCAAAAATATATTTCCATGTGTCAAAACTCTTTTTATTTCTGTGGTCCTTGTATTCAGTCTGTTTAACCTCAAAATTATCGAAAGAAAGGTATTTACAATAATTAGGTCTATTCAGCACAATATGTTGAATTTTGAAAAGGTACACTCCTTTCTCCAAATATTTGAAAGCCCTTGAAAGGTAAATTTAGTGAGTACATGAACTTGTAACTAATTCTTTGGCAATACAACTATAACAGTTTCACTAAAAAACTTAACTAATTTTCTCAACTTATTTCATAACAATAATGTGTGCTAGGTACACTAGTAAACCTTTCATCTTTTGATAATTCATAACAACCTGTGAAATGATTATTATCACTCCTGTTTGGCAGGTGGAGAAACTCACACTCAGAAAGTTAGGTAGCTTGCCCAAGGTCGCACAGCTAGAAAATGGCAGAGCCAAAACCTATATGAAGCCAAAATCTGACTCTTAACCACAGTGCTGTGTTACCTACTATCTTAAACTTTTTAATTCTTAATTTAAGGCTACCATCTCTTTTATGATAATATGTTGACAAATATTAGCTTAAAAGACATCTATAAGAAAGATAAAAAGCTAGACACCCCCCCAAAAAAACTGAGAAAACAAAACAAAACAGTAAATTATTTGTCTGAAAGGAATTTGGCACTGGTGTGAACCTCTGAATTGTACTTCTTTCTGGCTCTGGCTGATAGATAGCCATCAGGCAAGTGATTCCTTAGGCTTTGTTGCCCAGAAGTGAGATAAATTTCCAGGAAGATTTATATTCTTAAACCTAGATTTTGAATTGGAAGAATAGGTTATCTTACAGGGCCAGGAAGATAGGGGGAATACTCATGCATGAATTATATTAAAATATAATAATAAAATTGACATATTAGTAAAACAAAGTACTAAGAAATACTAGTTTTTATACAGTATAGGTAACATTCATTGAGTGCATATATATGCTGACATTGCCCTAAGCACTACACAGATATTGGCTCAAATAATTCTTTTGACAACTCTGTGAAGTTATCCTTATTTGACAGATAAGAAATTGAAACATGTGATTTTCACCCCCC